TTCCAGTGAATTTCAAGTGTTTCGTTCCATTAGAAATTGAAATAATTTTATTGGTGGATATCAGAATAATTAGGAGGTACTAGATTTGTTTCTGGTGAAACATTTGCGGCGATCATTTTGGTGCGTGGAATAAAAATAGGGGACAAAGATTGCATTTCCCACTTTAAAAATTGACCTGGTGAGCGCAAGTTCCAAAAAAATATCTAAAGTAGGTGTTCAAGTGAATAACAAAACTGAGTAGCAATTTGGAGATGTCTAAACCTCAAACAAGATTCTCTCCTTGGAAGATGCCAATTTTGCATGACTACAAAACTATCAACAGATTAGGTTGAAACCAAATACATTGATCAAAGAAGATTAAGGATGCCTTATATGTATTTCAATTTATTTCAACATCGCCCTATTCATTTAATAGAAACATTTGAATAGAAACAATTGGTGGGCCTATGTGTTTTGAAAAAAGTTGTACGTCTTCTGTATATCAAACATAGCTGCATCAGAAATGACATTGACAGGCATGCAAAAACGTGACTAATTTTGCATGGGAATTCTAGTAAAACATTGAATGCACAGGACTGGTCCCAATTTCTGTCGAAGCACAATAATTTAGAATGGACTGGAATCACAATAATTTAGGGGGATTATATCAGAAACCACTCTGGAGGTTTCTCCTAATATTCTGCGGAAGCACAATAATTAAGGATGGCCCGGTCCCAAAATTCTTTGGAAACAGGTATGAATAGTCATATTTGGGGTGTACGGTGATGTTAATGTCAAATTGAGTCACCATTCGAAGGAGAAAAGAAAGGAATCTAGCGAAAAGAAAATGTGCATAACTAAGATGTTTGTCGAGTCTCTTAACTAAGATGTTTGTTGAGTCTCTCATTCTTTAACAAAAGAATCTAATAGTTCATTTTAAGAATATCAATTAGGGAAAAATTCATTTTTCGTTCTTAAATTTTGAATTAGGCATACATTTCGTCCCCAAACTTTTGACGCACCACATTTAGTACATGAATTAATTATTTTGGATCACATTTAGATCAAAAACGATAAAATATTCAATTTGGATGGAGAAGACTGACGTGGGCGTTAATTTTGATTGATAAATTATTTTTACTTAATAACCACGTGCCAAACACGTGACTTTCTCCATCCAAATTAAACAATTTATCGTTTTTGGACTAAATGTGACAAAATATAATTAATTTATGTATTAAATGTGGTGCATCTAAAAGTTTGGAGACGAAATGTGTCCCTAACTCAAAATTTAGGGACAAAAAATGAATTTTTCCCCTCATCAATTACTTCTTCACTGAATTTGATTATCAACGAGATCATGTACATGCTGTATTCCAGGCAATGGTGATTTCTGAACACGTCCGAAAACATTTTGAACCCAAATTTAGAGTAATAAACTAAAATCATGTTCTTTTGTCCTATATTTTAAGTAACTAGTATAAGAGAGCGTACGTTGCATGTTGTTTGTATTCCTTTTTGAGATATTTAGTCGCTAAGTTTTTTCTCGTGATTACTAGAAATAATAGAGATATTAAGGATTTAAAGTGTCGTATTAAAATAATATTCTCCTTCAATAAAACATAAAAAAAAATACAAACTTTAAATGATTTTCAATCTCATTAGAAGCGTAGAATATCAATATCAATCTAAATTAAAATCCAGAAGATAACTACTCACATAAAACTCTCCAAACAAACTCCTCCAAAAATTTAATGGAATTTTAACATACTTGACAACCATTTTATTGAGTTTGGTGCACCCATATGCTGAACACTCAAACTGAAAGTACTAATTCACGAACGACATATACTACTTTTTGTATAGAAATTTACATGCAGGATTAAAACCATCAAGGCAAATTCGCAAAAGTTGATATATTTAACAAAGAAAAAGGTTCTATCACTGTGGTCCTCTCAGGAGGTATCCTTATCGATACTATATATATGTGGTACATAATCAACAATATGAAAGAATCATTTGAAATCTAGCAAATCATGCAAGCAAGAATTTAATGTCATCACCTACCCCCCAAAAAAAAGAAATCAATGTTGTGTTCTTACGTGTTTAATGTAATACAACTTGATGGTTCAGTTTTTATGTATTGATTGCTTGATTAATGTTGATATGGATACATATCTAACTTGGGCCCTCACAACGAATTAGTTTGGATAGCAAATTATTTATACAAATTTATCTGCTTGCATCATAAATATATTTTTAATCACATTTTTATCTCACAGGCATCACATCAGAAAAGTGTTGTACTATTTTTTAACAAAATTATCCCAAATAATCTCCTATCTAAACACAGTCGCATCGGCCAAAATGGTATCTATTTTCATTGAAAAGTACTACACTATGTTTTTTTGAAAAAAAATTATTCCAAATAATCTCCTATCCTAACATAGTTGCATTGGTCAAAATGGAGTATATTTTCGTTGGATGAGAGGTCAGTTCCTCTGGCGAATGCCTTTATGCGCAAAAGATAGAGGTCCTAAATTCATGTAAAACTTTACAAAACTGTCTACGGACACAACGTGGCCAATTGAGGTCCTAAATTCATGCAAAACTATCTATCGGCAAATCTATCGTTTTAGCTTAATTCCCATTAAAAGAATCCAAACTCCCTACTTGTGACTTTGGACAAAATTTTACTCCATCCTTGAATATCAAATCTTTCGCCAATTATATAGCAAATTTTCCCTTATAAGTATCTGAACTATAAAAAAAGATTTCCTTTGAAAAACATATTTGCAGGCCACATTGACCAAAGTTACCATTGAAATGTTTTTGTGAATAACAATAGTCCATTTTTTATGGTGTAAACTTAAAAAGTTTAAAATCAAGATGAGTGTGACTTAAATTCATTGGAAGTACAATATTTAGGATGGTCTGGTCCCAAAAATTCTATGCAACAAGTTAAGAATAGTCACATTCGTGGGGTACGGCGACGTTGGCGTCAATTGGAGGGACTCGTGGCAGTCCAATAATTACAAAGGGCTTTTTTTTAAAGGTAATTTACGAAGTACTGGTCCCAAAATTATGTTGAAGCAAAATAATTTAGGAAGGACCAGGAAGCACAATAATTTAATTAGGATGGACTGGTCCCAAAATTCTATGAAACAATGTCAGAATAATCACATTTGTGGGGTACGATGATGTTAGTGTAAATTTGAGGGACTCCAGGCATGGACCGAAATGATGTAACATCTTATAATTTTTTGTGAATTACTTGTAAAATCTTATAACAAGACACATAATTATTATATATAGGATCCACATGAACGGCAATAAAATATCACACTCCTGTTGTAAGTGTGTATAAGTGATTAAAAAGGAATTACAACTTGTTTAAAAAGTATTACATTATTCTGCACAGTTGTCAGTGCGTGCCCCACATCCCAATTTGAATCACTACTTGTAGGGACTGGTTGTGCGTGTCCACCAAATGGTGATGCATATGTAGTCTTCAATTGAGTTTGTAAGAATGTATTTATCTTGTAACATGTCAAGCCGCACATATGTATTTTGACAGAATTTCAGTGTTAATCTTCCTATACACAGTTCAACTAAAGCCAATCTATTGATATATAAACAAACAAAAACTAAACTGATAGCTGCAGACATAATCAATAAAAGGCAAGCCATATATCAGTTTAGACAGGAGTTTTAGTGTTGTTCTATCTAATACACAGTCTAACAAAAGGCAAGTCATTCATAGTTTATAAAAGGATACTTAGAGCAGTTCTTCTGCATTAGATCCTACTGCATATACTATGATCCATTAGATTATATCATGATCCATTAGATTAGACTGTCAACAAATACATTTTATCAACTAAAAACTAGGGCTGCAAATGAATCGAGCCGCTCGAGTCAAAGCTCGACTCGAGTTCGAGCTCAAAATATTAAGCTCGCTCGAGTATATATATATATATATATATGTTTATTTATTTATTTTTTTAATAGTAAAATTACATATATATCCCTAATATTTTATTATTTATTAAGAAAAAATAATTATTTGTTATTTTTATTATATTAATTTCCAGAAACTCGAGCTAACGAACTGCTCACGAGTCAAAAATTCGAGCTACGTTACGAGCTGATAATTCGAGCTGCTCGCGAGCCAGAAATCGAGCTACAGCTTGCGAGCCTTGTTGAGTCGAGCTCGAGTCTGGATTTTCCTTTGTCAAGTCGAGCTCGAGCCCACTTGTTATTAAGTCAAGTTCGGCTCGAGAAGTCTAAAACTCGACTCGGTTCGACTCGTTTGCAGTCCTACTAAAAACACACTGAAGAAGGAAATTCCAACATTACGATGATGTTTCTATGAACATTTGAAACGAAACAAATGGTGGGCCTATGTATTTTTAAAAAAGTTGTATGTCTTCTGTCTATCAAACATCGCTGTGGAATTATGATGTTTGCTGGCTAAACAACCTCAGACCTCCGGAGGCCGAATAATGGCTGGCTGTCATAAATGACAGGCATGCAAGTGAAGAACAAATTGAGGAAACTAAAACGTGACTAATTTTGCATGGGAATTCTACTGAAGAACGGAATGTATAGAAAGGACTGGTCCCAATAATTGACGAAGGACTGGTCCCAAATTTTTGCCGAAGCACAATAATTTAGGACGGACCTGGATGCACAATAATTTAGGATGGATTGGTCCCAAAATTCTGAGGAAGATTGTGTGTGTTTGGATATCATTTTACTTGTAAAAAATTATATAATTGCATCATAAACATATTTCTCAATTGCTTTTTTATCTTGTTAACTCTCTTTTTATTTCATATTACAGAAAGTGTTACAGTGTTTTTTTTCAAAATATTTATTCCAAATATTCATCAATACAAACACATTCAATAATTTTGGATGGACCCGGAAGCACAATAATTTAGAATGGACTAATCCTACAATTCTGTGGAAGCACAATAAGCAGAATATTTGCACCTAGTAGCTTGATCTACTCTCACTCTTGACGCTTCTCAGTCTATAAAAGAACCATGGCAAATCGGAATCAGCCATTTCAAATCGAATCACTCTTTACGTTTCTCAGTCTATATAAGAACCATGGCAAATCGGAATCAGCCATTTCAAATCGAAGGCAAACTTTTGGAAGACAAGGAATCATGGCAATCAACAAAATTGGTGCAATGGCTATTCTTTTTTGTGGTATGTACAATTTTATTCTTTTGTATGCGAGTTAAAACCTGACTATTCATCCGATCTTTTAAAAAAAAAAAAAAAAAACAGTTTCTAGCAGTTTTCAAAATTTATAAGGATGATTTTTCAAAGTATTCGCACATTCACCTCATACGGAATTTGGCTTGCATATGATTTAAAATGATTTTGATACTGAAAACAGGAATGATTCTTCTGGGAGCAAATGTGGAAGTCAAGGCTGTCAGGCATGGGCTTCTCAGGCCCTGCCCACGAAATTGCATAGGAGGCTCCGTGTACAAGATCTGTAATGGAACGAAGACCTACACAACTTGCACCAATTGTTGCGTCTCCGACGGCTGCACTGTTTACTTTATTGGTGGATTTTCAATAGATTGTAAATGGCCTTATGCAACGTATTAATCTCATGATTGGGGTTCTGTACTCTGGATTCCTAATATCATACTAATCGAGTACTAAATAATGGGCAATGTAGTTTCCGCGAGGGTGGCATATAACTATGTAGTCTATTAGTGATTCATGAGACAGTGAATCATGTTCAATAAAATGAAAGTATATGACCAAATTCGTGATACATCATCTGGGATGATTAATTACATCTTGAAAAATTATAACTCTCCCAAAAATACGAGGGAGAAAGAGAGAGAGATAGAGACAAGTGCTAAAAGTGGATCCAGAGATTCTCTAGTCGAATTTTGTCTAATTGATATAATTCGTACAATATGTGTTGTAAACTAATAAAATTTCACTATAATTATGAAATTTGTCAACTCATATAACTAAAGTAGAGCAAAATTCACGATCACATTAAAACTATATGAGTTTATATCAAATCTTATAAATATTATATCGACCACACTGAATTGGGTAAAACTCAACTCAGGAAACCCATTGTGGCTAAAAGTTTCAAGAACTTAAGGATTCTTTCAATCTACTTGATCCACCAACTTCTTGTGCGTCATTTGTTCAGTATTATCCAGAGTAATATTATGGAGCCTTTAGAGTACAGCCTTCATTGATAATGTTCAAATATATCTCCATGAGATCAATATTCTAATCTCTTGACTTGTGCACTAATTACTCGAAAATCAACCCCAACTGATGCAGGTCACATTTTCTCACCTCCATCTTAACACTTTGACCAATTCTCCAAGACATAAAGAAAAGTCCTTTCCTATTGGATATATTTTTAAATAAAAATAAAAAACATTTCTAGCTTTACAGATATTTTACTTGATTTTGACTCTAAATCAACATAAGAAGAATATGAGGAAGAAAATTAGCTTACATAAAATAATCAAGATAACGTGCGTTACAAGTTTTTTGCTCCTTTTGTCTTGTACTTAGGGTAACTAGTATGAGAGAACGAGCATTGCATGCTGTACATATTACTTTTTTGTGATTCTCAGCCACAAAGTTTTGTTCTCATGATTATTAAAAATAAAAGAGATGCTAAGTATGTAAATCGTTGTATTACGACTAATCTTCTCCTTCAATAAAAACATATAAAAACTTGGGAATTTCGCCAATTTGGTCCCTAAACATTTTCACTTAAACCAATTTCGTCCTTGATGAAATATTTTAACCAATTTAGTCCTTGAACTAGTTTTTTACTTCCAATGTAGGACTTTTCATTGCATTTTACTCAATTTGCGTGGACCAACGGGGGTATAATTGTCACGCTGGTTTAATCTTTTGCAATTAACCACATTAGGTCAGATAATAGGGGAAATTAATGGACACGTAAAGTTCGAAAGTTATGTACAGTGGTCGTGAAGCAGGGAAGCTAGTCGCAGTTCGACCATTCTTCCCGGAAACATGCTTGGATATGCCGCCGTTCTTGTTTAAAGAGGTTGCTGGTGGTGGGAGTGAGACTGGCATCGTGCCTTGCATTGTCCTGGAGCTGAGCTTTCTTCCCAGTTTAGGTGACTGAGATTGTGTAACTGGATTCTGCAAGAAGTGGAAAGTTATACCAAAGCACTTGGAATAAATGGACACGTAAAGTTCGAAAGCTTGATGCTTGACTTCCCGTGAGTTAACTTTTAACACTTGCTTTGCTGCTGGCTCTATGGATTGGCTAAACATTTTGGGGAAACAAAACAACTGAGAAAAAGGTTTTTTGACATGAAGGCTTTAATGGTGAAGAACGGAAAACTGGATTCTGTGGTTCAGAATCGGAAGATGTGGTACATTTAATTCTAGATGTAGCAAAGGTGTGTGTAATAACATGCCTTTTTAGTCTGACTGTTTTGTGTTTCCCGTTCCTTGTAGAACTCTGGAAGAGGGCGAGCTTTGAAGCAAAAACTTTGACCGAGTACATTCAATCTAATTTGTTTCATCGGTTAATTGCAAAAGATTAAACCAGCGTGACAATTATACCCCCGTTGGTCCACGCAAATTGAGTAAAATGCAGTGAAAAGTCCTACGTTGGAAGTAAAAAATTAGTTCAAGGACTAAATTGGTTAAAATATTTCATCAAGGACGAAATTGGTTTAAGTGAAAATGTTTAGGGACCAAATTGGCGAAATTCCCTAAAAACTTTTACAAGATTTTTATAAACTTTAATTGACTTTCAATCTCATTGGAAAGCATAGAACATCAATATCAAACTAAATTAAAATCAAGATGATAAACTGCTCACATCAAACTCTCCAAAAAAACTTGTCCATAAATTTAATGAAATTCAACAGACTTCACAACTATTTTATTGAGTCTGGTACATGCTTGTATTGAATACTCAAACTAAAATTATATAGAGGAACATGAAGGATAAGGTTGTATTCAAGCAAAAAGAAGAGAAGCTCCCGTTACCAAATTCAAACCCATTAATATATTTGTGGAGTCTCTCATTGCTTAGTTAAAGAATCAAGTATGCATCAACAAAGTTAATTATCATTTCATCACACAATTCAGTTACTAGGAGAACCATCTAAATATTATGTTCGATGCAATAGTGATTATTAAGCAAGTCTAAAAAATCCCTATGAATTGCAAGTGCGCCGTTCGATTAGAAATTGAAATAAATTTATTGATGGATGTCAGAATAATTAGGAGGTATCATATTTGTTTCTGGCGAAGCGTTTGGGAATTTTGATGGACGGAATAAAAATAAAGGACTAAAATTGCACTTTCCACTTCAAAAATTAACCGTCTGAGTGCAAGTTCCACAAAAAAAAATCTAAAGTAGGTATTCAAGTTAATAACTAAAATAAGAAGCAATTTGGAGACCTTTAAGCCTCAAACAAGATTCGCACCTTGGAAGACACCAATTTTGCAAGACTACAAAATTATCTACAGAACAGGTTGACCATGATCAACAAAAGTAGTTCTGTGAACAAAAAAGTACTAAGATGAAGTGGTTTATTGATTCACAACTTTATGTGGTGTCAACTTTAAAAAAAAAAAGTTTAATCTAAACTTAATTTTAGACACCAAATGAATTGATCAAATGAACAATAAGGATCTCTTATATGTATTTCCATTGAACTTCCCATGTAAATAGCAATACATTTGACTAGACTACGTTAAAAATGAAACATACATTATATGGTGAACGACAAATACAAGCAAAAAAATAAAATGAATATCAAGAAAAATACATATCCGCTTAATGCACGACACTACAAATCCCTTGGTCCTACAAGAGATGAAATTAGGTGATAATTATGGAGAAACTAGACACAGTGTTTGATAAGACTCAAGTTGATATATTCGCATCTAGTCTTCCTACAAAGTCGAGTTTGACACTGCCTATCTGCAGAGCACGGGAAAGGGCAACGTCCTCTAGTATTAGTTAAAGTTGACTCCACAATTGTCATCAATGCGTCACCTTCGGCATCAGCTATGATAAGATGTAAATCGTAGTGCGTTTATAAGTATAAGTTGCTAGTTAAATATATTATTTGAGGTTGATCTTGGAAAAAAATATTTAATTTTGCTTTTATAGTGTTCTAATTGGTGAAAAACTCCAGTGGAGAGAAAACATATTAAAAAAGTGGCGTGAAGTATCAATGGAAGATGAAAAAGTTAAGAGAACGAGATTTTGCAGGATTGACATGTTTCAATATTTTAGCGATAACTTGAGTTACACAAATTGGATTAAGATGATTTATGATTCAATTTCAAGCTAAGAGAATTCTCTACAACTTCTATGCAGAACTCAAAGTTTGGTTCTTACATTTTCATGGCAAAAATTTCAAATTACTGAAGTACGTTTGCGCTGCGATATAGTACCTTCTAATTTGTAAAATCAACCTAAAAATCCTAAATTTTGTAATATCTTCTTGAGTAGATTTATTGATCTAGTACCTTATAATTCATCTACCAAATAAAAGAAAATATATTTCATAAAAAAAAATGAAGAATCAACAAAAATATGAGCAAATCCATCCAATATCTGAAATTAAAAAAGAAGAGTTTAACTTTCCCAACTCAAAAGAAAATCTATAGGATTTGTAAAATTAAATCCAAAAAAAGTAGAAAAAATCATGAATATCAAAACAAAAGATAAAAGAGGAAAGGGTAAACAAGTGTGCTCCTTTATCTACCTAGTTCAACTTCATTATTGTCTTCACCATCAATAATGTAAAAGAAAAGATAGAAGAGAAGAGGGAAAAAAAATAAAAAATGAGGCGATGAGCAGAACTTGTAGTGTGGCTCCGGGAGGTAAAGATTTTTCAAGGATGAAGAGAATTGAGAGTTTCTTTAGTTTTTTGTTAGATTAGTCATTTTATTTTTAAATTGGGCTAACTAAGGTTTTTTTTTTTTTAATTTGACGAAAAATGGCCATCTACCAACTTAATTGTAGTAGCAGATAATTAGTTGTAGTTGTTGGTCTTTGATAGAATTTAAAAGCTCAAAAAAGTGAGCAGCCCATAGAAAAATGTCCAAGTTCCAAGTCAAAATTCAAAAATCGAACTTGACTAGTTTAATCAGTTTATTCCGATTCACTGATTTTAACCGACTTTGATTGGTTTTTTTTAAAAAAAACTTTTCATTTTTCTCACAAAAGTAGACTGGTATTATTGTCGGTTCATGATTCGACCGATCGAACCAGTCAATCCGATTCGATTCTTAAAACACTGGGATGGACCAGGAAGGACAATAATTTAATTAAGATGGACTGGTCCCAAAATTATTTGGAAGTATGATATGAGGATGGATTGGTCCCAAAATTCTGTGAAATAAGGTAAGAGTAGTCACATTGGTGGGGTACGGTGATGTTAGCATCAATTTGACAGACTTCGAACCTGGACCAGAATGACGTAACACTTCTTGAATATCTTATAATTTTTTTGTGAACTACTTGTAAATTTTATATAAAAACACACAATTATTATGCATGAAATTCACAGGAACGGTAATAAAATATCACACTCCTATTGTAAGCTTGACAACTATTTAATTGAGTTTGGTGCACCCATGTGCTGAATACTCAAACTGAAAGTGCTGCTTCACGAAGGACATAGACTACTTTTTGTATAGAAATTCACATGCAAGATTAAAACCA